ATGCCAGGCAGGATGAGACACCTTTTTACATTGATAATTTTATTTCCTACTTATGATAAGCCAGAAAGATAGATGCTATCAGTATTACTATGATTTCTATTTTACAGATGAGAAAACTGAGATTTGTAAATGTTAAGTAATGTGGCGAAGGTCATGCAGCTGGTTATAGGTTGGGAAGAAATCAAATTCAGATTATTTAATAAAGAAGACCTTGTGTATGACATCATGCCAAGGCTACCAAAGTGAGCTTAATACTCGTGGGACCCTATCATCTTCTATTTAGATTTGTCAAGTTTAGCAGGAAACACTATTTACTTCCTTTTTTGGTATTTAGCTCACCATTACGATACATTATTAGACTTCAGTTCTAGAAAGATCTGAGAGAGAAAGAAGCAGTTTCCCTCATGGCTTTTCTTATTTCAAAAATAGAATTCCTTATTAAAAAATGCAAACATAGTACATTATTTTTTTTCCGAAGTTATTATACCAGATACCATTTGTAACACATGAAAAACAATTAAGCAAGACTTCAAAAATATAAAAACTTAGGTATAATTTACTTCTATATTCAAATTCTTAATTTGTATCAGTCAATTCATAATTCCTCATCAGTCTTCTCCAAATTATTTACCTTCTTTATGCCTCCATATTCTGATTTGTATAGTACAATAATATCACTAGCAAGTTTACTGGGTTATTGTAAGATTTAACAGAGATAAGCGAAGGACTTAGTACCATGTCTGGGACATATAGTAGGCACTCAGTGAAGGCCAACTATTGTTATTATCAGAACTTAAAGATTAGAAACTCCTTTTATAATTTACCCTATAGGCAATTAAACATTCTATAAGGTGATTTCAAAGTTAGAGAGCAGCTTGTCACCTATAACTCTTTTTGGTGGTTTGTCATATGTCTCAGTAAGCCACAGCAAATTGTCCTCCTTGAAGATTTGTAAGCTTAAATAAATGGTATATCTGGCTTTGCTTTCCTAGTTTCTAATTAGCTATAAAAGTCTACTTCTCCTTCTGCCTGGCTTATGTATTTAACCATAGAGCAGAGAACAGAAAGCTACTTGTAGAGATATTTCTACAACAGCAGCAATAATTCTGTGACAATTTTTAAATTTGAATTTCTGGGTCCAAATTTCTTTTTTTTCTTTTATTTTTTTATACTTCATGTGCATTGGGGTGCATGTTTATTTCTTAGGCTCGGTGTGTATGATATACACACACAAACACACACACACAAATACATAAGCATTTTTTCTGCTTTCTGCCTGTGGGAGCCCTGTGTCATAGCTTCTGTATAGCTGGGTCTGGGCTTGACTCTTTCCATCAGAAATTTTCATCAACAACTCTTGACTTTACAACCTGCTACTTGGCTTCATTGTTAGGCTATTTCCACATAGATATGGGATGATTGTGAAAAGTCAGGAGCTGTGACAGAGACAGTAATACACCCCTTCCTTTTATTTGTAGTTCAGTGGGCTGTGTCATTAGTTCTAGACAGTGCACTGCAGAAGGAAGTGACCCATATCACCCTCAGGCTGATGCAGTGAAAAGTTCATGCTTGAAGTGCCCCATGCCCAGTATCATTTTACCTACATTGACCCAGAATTGTTCTACTTGCAGTATTGACAAAAGAGGCCACGTGCCCCCAGTGGTACAGGTCCTTGATGATAATTTTTATCAGACTGGACACATAAGTCACCATGTGGTGAACTTCTTAGAACTACGGTGAACTTCATGTAAGAGAGAAATACAGAATAAATCTTTGCGATGTTAATCTCTAGTGATTTGGGGATTTTGTTATTATAACAAAAACATATTCTATCTTACATAAAATGAAGGCCATCAACTTGATAGCTTACAAATCCTAAAGCAAAAGATTGTCTCTCTCAATTGTTTTGCAATGTATTTCATAGGATGCTTATAGGCCCATTTGAGTAACATGATGATTCCTAAACCATCAACGTGACTACTATGGATGAGTAATCTGAGTGTCTAGTCCTATGTCATGATCCACTCCCTAGTTGGAGAAGAAAGGAGCCGAATATACCCAACATCATCAGATGGCCTGGGAAGGACTAATCTGGAACGATGGAGGATTAGTTATCCAAAGCATGCTATGTTTATATAGTGGAACTCTGATAGTTTCCTGAGACCCATCTCTTGTAGGCCTGTAGTGATCTTGCTCTAATAACAATATAGTGAAGAGGAATAAACATTTGCTCTTTCTAAAGTGCTTAAGTGACAGTGAGGACTTTTACTTTTGATCAAACACTTGACTAAAAACATGAACCACACAGTGGGGATTGTAGAATGTTGTTAAATCCCAAAAGATTCACCTAATCTTTTGTATTCTTTTATCAACTACATGCAATGCCTCACCTTCAATTCAATTAAAAAAACCCATATAGAGAACTTTCTAACTAAAATATATTGTGTTGAATGGTGTGGCAAAGTGGTTGCCAACCCTTTTGACACTAGGGACCAGTTTCATGGAAGATAATTTTTTCCATGGACCAGGGGTGGGGAGGATCGTTTGGGAATGATTCAAGTGCATTACATCTTTTGTGCACTTTATTTCTATTATTATTACATTTTATGTAATGAAATAATTATACAACTCACCATAATGTAGAATCAGTGGGAGCCCTGAGCTTGTTTTCTTGCAACTAAACAGTCCCATCTGGGGGTGATGGGAAACAGTGACAGATCATCAGGCATTAGATTGTCAAAAGGGGTGTGCAGCCTAGATCCCTCGTATCCACAGTTCACAACAGAGTTTGCATTCCTATGAGAATCTAATGCTGTCACTGATCTGACAGGAGGTGGAGCGGAGGCAGTAATGTGAGTGATGGGGAGCAGCTGTAAATGCAGATGAAGCTTCATTTGCTTGCCTGCCACTCACCTCCTGCTGTACGGTCCAGATCCTAACAGGGCACGGATCAGTACCAGTCTATGACCCAGGGGCTGGGGACCACTGGTGTGGAGGATAGGGCCAGTGGGACAAAGCATGAGAATAGTTTGGTTAATATAAGTAGGAACCCAGAATAAGGAATACTTCTGATTTTTGGAAGTAGAAAAACTGAAAGGAAAAAGAGGAATAATTGGGATGGGCCCTGAATAGGTAACATGATGTCTATAGCTAGAAAATGAATAAAATGCCTTTCTAGCCTCAGAGACCAGCATGGGAAAGAAGCATGAGTCTTTATGGTTGTTGGTGCCATGGGAGAATAGTCCCAAAGTGTACAGGATGGGCAGGAAACAAATGACAGGCTAAAAGGGTGATTGAACAGAGTCTAACAGGGACTTTTACAGGTATTGGGATGGATTTATGGAATTCAAGAAAGGCTGGTAGAATGTCCCATGACTAGCAATAGCAAAGAAGTAGTTAAGTCAGATAATCTGGGACAATATTGGCACTCAGCAAGTTAAATTGGTGTTTGTAAGACAGGGTTTCTCAGGTCTTTTAATATACTAATGTACACTCTGAATCTCATAAAAGTAGAATATAATAATGTCGCATTTCCAAAATGCATTTGACCATGAAACTTTTAAAATACAGCATCTCTTGGTACTATATAGAGCTCAGTGATGCATATTCAGGAATGATGGCTTGGCATAAACTCATTTATTCTGTTTTGTTTGATTATGTATTATATATTTACATCGTATATTTTAAGCTATTGAGAACAGGAAGTTCCCTTCTGTATTCTTTTCTGTCCCATAGCACTTTATTGCTGGTGGGTTGTAGATAGTGAGCAAAGAAGAGGTCTCTATCTGAAAGGGATCAAAGAGTCAAAGTAGGGCATGGAGACATACAAGTAAAGCTGAATTGTCAGCAGTGGTGTTATTGAAGAACAGTAATTAGAAAGGTACATGGTACTTTTGAAAAGATTAAGCCACATGGAGGAATCAAGTTGGGAGTGAAAGTTGTAAAAAGACCTTCAGGATGGTGTGGTAGCCACACACAGAAAATGTGGCCAGTTTGCCAAAGCAGTAAGCAGCTTCATGGGACAAAAAACAACAGTGTCCCTTTTTATGGTTGCATAGTATTCCATGGTGTATAATGTACCACATTTTCTTTATCCAGTCCATCATTGATGGACATTTGGTTTGATTCCATGTCTTTGCTATTGTGAATAGTGCTGCAATTCAGGGACATGAATGGAGCTGGAAGCCATTATCCTCAGCAAACTAACATAGGAACAGAAAACCAAATACCACATCTTCTCACTTATAAGAGGGAGTTGAACCATGAGAACCCATGGACACAGGGAGGGGAACAACACACACTGGGGCCTGTCGGTTGCAGAGGGTTGGGAGAGGGAGAGCATCAGGATAAATAGCTAATGCATGCTGGGCTTAACACCTAGGCGATGGGTTGATAGGTACAGCAAACCACCATGGCACACATTTACCTATGTAACAAACCTGCATGTCCTGCACATGTATCCCGGAACTTTAAATTAAATTAAAAGAAATTTTAAAATAACAGTAGTGTCAATGAGGATGAATGAAATTTATCCCTCAAAAGCATGTTCCTTTTCATGTCTCAGGCTCCTTCTCCCTTGACCATTTATTTTTCATCCTAAATGCATATAAAATTGAGTGTTCTGCTTAGCATCATATTTTCTGAAAAACATTGTAACTTGTGGAAATTCAATAATCATTTGCCAATGACTGAAGAGTAATGTAATAGTTTATCAATGTATCACTGAAAGATTCAGTGAATAGAATATTTACAATCTATTATTTGCACAGAATGGTGTTACCTACTCCCTTCTCCCATATTTTATAAATACCAAAAGTAAAGTAGAGTGTGCAGGATGCCAAAAATAGTGTTTAAATCACTGAAACAGGAAATCAGAAAGGAAGGATGCCTTTTGAAATATATATAGTTAAAACAGGATAGACATTCTTGAATACGCCATATGCAGTGTATGCAAAGAGTATACACAGACAGCCAATATTTTCTGTTCTCTCATCTCTCAGTCTATTCTAGATCCCTGCTCAGGAACCCACTGTGGGCCAATCAACAGCCTCCCAAAAGGAGTCAGAGAGTTCCAGAAGCTCCCATTCCAGTGCCAGCTGAGAATCCATTTGGATAATAACGGAGTAAAAACTCTGGTTTGGAGAAAGTTTCTGTAATGTTTTTCTTTTTCTTTTTTGGTGGAAGGGAGAATAAAAGAGGATATTGCCTGGTAAGCATGCAAATAAAAAATCCCATCAATTTCACTAGAATTGCTCAGAACCTCAACTCTGGTGAACTGCAGGTGACAACACTTTACAACAGTGACAACTGCAGGTGACAACACGTGTAAATAATAGTATTATTTACATGATTGGGGGCTTCCCTGGAAACTGCGCTGACCCTGAGATGATTGAACATTCAGAGTAAAACCCTTGATATAGTTCATAAAATTGGATTCAAATGAAAAGTTTAATGTAGAGTGATTTGAAAATAACACTAAGAGCTCTTCCCTGAATTCAAAAGAAAAAGCAAGGAAAACATGTTAGTCTCAGCAGGAGCCAAGACTGTAGTAGGTCGGGGAAGGTGGAGAGGACAGTGTTTTGGTTTTATTATGTCTACTTTTCTCTTATTGAAGAATAGAAGATGGATGGCTTGATGCCTGAGGTAATTCAGTATGTTTCACCAATTTGGAGATGGTCATTTGTCTCTACTTAAGTCTTGGAAATTATGTTGAAATACTATAATTTCTGTAAACTGGGAAGGTCACAATGTGGTGGTTGTCATTGCCTGGACATGCACAAACTTGGTTGTGATTCCTGGTGGCATGCTTAGACAGACAACTGCAACCCCCTGACACTTAATTCGAGAAATCATTTAAGAATCACTTGAAAAAGGAATATATTGTTGTTGTCCTTCCAATAACTGAGTGTCTTCTGAAAATCTTTCATTGTCACTTTCTGGTAATACACAAGGACTAGAACTTCCTGAGTGAGCATTAGCAGCACAGAAAAAATCTGGGAGATAATGGTGGAGCTCTGTTAAGAAACACTACATCATCAACATTGTTAACACATTTAATGGCACAAAGGATGATATTAAAAGAATATATATAGATAGTGATGACTCTGAGTCAAAGAGTGATTCAAAAGAATCAAATTCTGTTTGTGAAGAAGTTTAGGACATCTTAAACCTATTTATTTTATTTTATTACATATATACAAGACTGATACAAGATAGCAATCAATGTCTATATAAGTTTAAAAGATCCATTTCAACAAATATTAAAATATACAATCTAAATGAAAATGATACATTGTTTTAAATTTTAATTGGCATTATTACTTCTTTCTTAAGTGTGCATTTTTTTAAATGGCTTATCTGGCAATTGACAGTGTCTTACATTCCATAGAAAACAGTAGAACAGTAGATTTCTTTCTCCTGAATGTTGTCTTCCTGACATTAAAGATGCCAAAGGCAGTTGCAAATTAAACTGGGGTTGGAGCACAAGTTGTGACCCATGCATTCTATTCTCCCAGAATCAGAACTGTTCCTACTTGACCTTATCCCTTCTGCTAGAAACATCTTGGCTTCAGCAAAATCACCACCCACCCTGAGAATGAGTTCCCATTAAGCCTTCAATGTCCATGACCCAATATGCTACCTCAGCTATATGAATCAACTGCACTGCTTGTTTCACCACTGGCCCAATGGCAAGCAGCTGCCACCAAATTCTCCCTTTTCCCTATCCTGTTGAAGATTAAGTTTTCCATACTTCTAGATCACTCTAATGGGCTATCACAAAACTGTTCCATTGGAAATGTCTTATTGTATGAACATGCTCTTTTCTACTCAAACAGCTGTTATAAAGTTGAAATTGAATTGCACAAGATTATAGAGAAGCGCACACACAGACACACACACACAAACACATGCACTCACACTTCCCTTTTTCTTCTCCTTCCTTTTATCTTAGGAGAAATGATTTTTAGGGCTTTCCATGTTCAACTTTCTTTTTTCTCTTCTTATTACCAAAAGGCAGTAGCACCTATGCTTAAAAAAACAAACTAGGATTTATCCATAAGTGGTGATTTTGTTTGTCTTTGGATAGTTTCCCTGCTTTGTCAGCAAATTAAGTGTTTACCTGCAGTCATTCATCGCATTACCAGGTTTAAAAAATCACTCCTGCCATCACAGTGAAGAAAAATGATGACTATAAAGAAATAATTATTAGAAACTTGAAATGAATCATTCTTTTATGATCCTGCACAATGACTGCAGATCTCCCTAAGGGAGATGACCAGAGAAATATTTAAGTCTGTCTCTTTCAGTTAACATTTTTATCTAGAAATTGACATGAGGCCGAAAAAAAAAGAACGGTATTGAATCACGAGCTAATTTTGTTACTGTTATTTGAAAGATCTCAGGGAAAACATATTGATATCCACAGAGGAAGAAATGTGCCTGAAGTTTACTATAGTTGATTATTTTTTAATGATAAAAATGAAAAATTGAGCTTTTTAATGTTCTTTCTTAAAATACTGAGCTGCAGACCCCTTGAGATAAACAATTTTATGTGTTCAGTTACTTCCACTGTGATTAGGTCATTAATCTATCATTTATTGCAATTGTCTCAGGGTAGAGTAATGTGAATAATTAAATTTTTTACATAATAGAAAAATAAAAACCTTTAAGTTTATAGCTGACCAGTAGCAAAGTTAATTTAAGATGTATTAACATTTTCCTACCTTAGTAAAAAATATAAATGAAATATAATTTCACTTTTCATTGATAATAGCATTATTATAAGCATAAATTATATATCCTGGGAAATTGCTCTTCTTTTCTGGTCCTCAGTTTCCTCATCTGTGAAATTAGAAGAGTTAACTAGGACAATTTTAAGGTCATTTTATGCTTTAAGCATCTATACTTTTATTCTGTTGGAAACATTAACATTTTAGGCTGGGATAAAGCCATCGGTCTTCTTCTCCCTTATGTCAAAAACTCCAACTGAGAGAGTGTTTACAGGTAAAGTGGAAATAATAGCATAGCTAAGTCTGACACCTATACATTCTTTGTGAAGTAACCAATTCTGGGTCACAGTTTCCTTATCTGTAAAGAGGAGCAACCGTACGAGGGGTTCATAAAGCTCTAAATCATTATTTTTAATGACACAAGTTTAAACACACAGAAGTCAGTGGAAATTGGAGACATTCTTAAACTCTTTGGCTTACTCTTGTGGAAAGCAATTCTAAAGTGAAATCGCAAGTGATATTCTAAGCAAACTTCATCTGTGGCATATAGGTAGAGAGTAAAACTTCTGTTGTACTTCCTCCTGCCCTTTCAATGCCTGCCATACTAATAGAACTAAGATCTCTCCTCATGTTTGCATCAGAAAACTAGTGCATTAGCAAATACACATCAAGTGCTTATTTTATGCAAGGCATAATTTTAGGAGTTGACTTTCCTATCAGAGGGACACTGTCGGATCAATTTATTCATACTAAGTTTAAGGACTCCTAGGAATTGTTTCAAGTTACTCTCAGCAAGGAAACAATTAGAAGCATAGATGACCCTTCTGGTAGTAGAAACTCTGCTCCCTCTGTGATTAACGGTCCAATTAACAAGGGTAGTTTAGTTGTTACTGTAGAATTATTTGCAGGTGCAAGTATTTGTGAAGGTAATTACAAATTGGCTCAGTTTTTGCCTGGTCAGGAACAATCGTATACATATATTTTTAAGTTCTTCTTGTGGGACCATTTGGGGCAGAAAAAAATATTACCTAAGTTCCCAGGATATTTGAAACCAACAACAAAAAAATGATTTTTTTAAAAATACAACACCCAAACTCTCTTGTTTTTAGATCAAAAGAACATTTAGAAACTTCCCACTGGTTATCATTTCGACACTAAATTTTTTTCTTCAAACATATGTAAATATCTGAAGTTATATAATCCCTATAATACTGGCTTAAATTATTACTTCCACTTTTGAGTTTAATTGTTTAGTATTCATGTGGCACATAGGATTTGTAAGTCAGTTTACAATGATTAATTTGTCGAAGAAAAACACAGATGAATATTTTGGTATTCAAATTATATTGCACCTTGGTATTTCCTTTAAATATGTATACATATACATTACCAAATTGTTTTATAATTATGAAAATTATAGTTATTTTTTTCAAACCAACTTTCTATTTCCACCAAAACTCTATCATTTTACTCTTCTAAATATGATGTATTTTGACAAATAAATATCAATAACTGCTACTTTATAAATTCCTCAGTATCACAGACATTGATGTAAAAGCATTTTTCCACAGCCCTTCCTTCACCAAGGGGTTTAATTTTGCAGGCATTTGAGAAGATTCTCTTGTACAAATAAATGAATGAATAAAGTTTTTTTTTCTGACACTTTGTTCCATTTTTACATTGCTTGATGTTTATGGGCTCTTTTTCACATCTCTGAACCAGGCATTCCTGATCAGTAATAATGTATGTTATGATCTGTTTCTTTTCCCTTTCTCTCTTCTTTAGATACATACAGACATCATGGTATAGTAAATCCCATAAACGTTAAGTGACACTGCACATCTAATGATAAAAACAGCTTAGCTTGGAAGAAGAGAACATAAATATAGGCATACCTTAGAGATATTGCAGGCTTGGTTCCAGATTACCACAATAAAGTGAATATTGAAACAAAGTGAGTCACAATTTTTTTTGTTTCTCAGTGCATTATAAGGTTATGTTTATACTATGGTATAGTCTATTAAGTATGCAATAGCATCATAGCTAGAAAAAAATCACATATATGCCTTAATTTAAAATATTTTAGGCCAAGCACAGTGGCTCACGCCTGTAATCCCAGCACTTTGTGAGGCCGAGGTGGCCAGATCACGAGGTCAGGAAATCCAGACCATCCTGACTAACATGGTGAAACCCCGTCTCTACTAACAATACAAAAAAAATTAGCCAGACTTGGTGGCGAGCGCCTGTGGTCCCAGCTACTTGGGAGGCTGAGGCAGGAGAATGACGTGATCCCGAAGGTGGAGCTTGCAGTAAGCCGAGATTGTGCCACGGCACTCCAGCCTGAGCAACGAGTGAGACTCCATCTCAAAAAAAAAAAAAAAAAAAAAAAAAAAAAAAAATATATATATATAT